ATAATAACAGATTTGGAAAAGGGAGCATGAGAAAAAAGTTAGGATCAACGTTGATTTGACCACAGAAAAAGATGTAATTGTAGGTCTGTGAGCAATATCCTGAAATATTTACTTTAATTTATGGGAAATTTGTAGAAGCGTTTGTTTTTTGTTTTTTTTTTGAGGGGGAATATGAGTGAGTAAAGGCCACTTCATCAGCTACAGGAAATACAGTGACTGAGTTGAGTCTCAGAGTTCAGAAGACATCCACATTGTCATCGCAGTCTCCTAACAGTGGCCAGGGGGCATCAGCAGTTTCATATCGGCCCATTCTTCATGCTGCTGGCAGCTGTGGCGTCCTTTTGGGTTGGGAAGCAGCTTAAAGTGCAGATATCACGGGGGATTTCCTCTGCTTTCTCCTTTTCTGTCCCCTCACTACATGACTCTGGTTTCATTCAGAACACAATGTGCAGTCCCTGCTCAGATTTTTCCAGCTCCAAGTGTGGACGTGACACAGATGCTCGGGCTCGGGCATTAGCACTGAACTGTACAAACACATACCACAGAATGTAGTTTCTAAGTTACTTAAGCTGAATATAGTGTAAATAAAGAATCAGACTCTAAAATAGAACTTATGATTGGTATGCATGCCCTGTTAGGAATTACTTTGTCTTCATTAGGTATATATTTACATTTAAATGACAGCAATTACACAACTTTAGGAGCCAAAAATGATTATGCTGGTTTAAAATCCCTCAGTTTTCCATTAAACTCACATTCTCACATCTCTGCCTTTATTCACACTTTTGCACTTTGCACATGTTCAAATGCTCATTAATGCAAATATCCAAGCAGCTAATCACATGGCAGCATCTCAATGCATTTAAGCTCAAAGTTCAAAATATTAAGAACCATTTATTTATCCCAATTAATGGATGATCAAATTGTTTGTTTTGAACATCACCGAAGTGTCAGACTGCCACACTTTGTAAAAGCAGCAACTTATTTTTGGCAATTCTGACATTTTTAAACCAGTTTCTTGCTTTTCCCCCACCACTATTTGATATTAACCCTTTAAAGCCAGTCGGAGCGGGCACGCTCTGTTTTGCGCAACTATTTTTAAATCCCGGTAGCACTGCAACCACGTAAGCTAGCGCAATAATTCTTTTTTTTTGCATATGAAACCGGAGGAGTTGTACTTACATCTTATGCCATCAGCTTGTCCTAGGTCACGGTTTCCTTCCACATATAGTTTTGCAAAAACTGCATAAAAAACACTTCCAGTATCAAAAAACATAATATTCCAGAAACACGCTTTGCCATCCGATCAGCTGTTTGTAACACTTTCTATGTCCATCAGCGCGAACAATCGCATGTCCGCCATGACCTGCCCGAAACCGGAAGTGACATAATTTGCGGAAATGTAGTTTTTTTCCCTTTTTTTTCCCTGTTTTTTACCATCTGGGCTTTATGAGCCTATACTGGTGTTATGTTTGACTTTATGACTTTGTGTCGTTTCTGGGATGCTTAGGACTCATATTGCACTGCTGGAAATAGTTTATTTTGATGCATATGCAGTTTCTTTTTGCAAATTTGCATTATAATATTTATTTTTGTTTTTCCTGCAGTATATAAAAATTAGTGTATTTCAAAAATAAAACTACGAAGACGCTTAAAATAAATTTCCTGTGGTGGGAAACTATTTTGTGCCACTTTTTTGTATTTACAGTTTTGAGGGATAAGCCTCTTAAATAGAAATATGTGTTAAAAAAAACAAAAACGATTAAATTTCTTTGTAGTTTATTGCACTTCTTTGCAATTTATGTAATTACTATGCATTTAATGCAGACATATTATTAAAATTTGGGCTATAATGGTTGTATTGATGTATATGCATACTTGAAATAAAAATATAATGTAAGCTCTGGCGGACTTGCTTCTGTGGTAGGTCTTAAAGGGTTAACTGCTCATGTGTTTAATTTAAAGCTTCGATTAGCTCAACAAAAGATCAACTCCTTTATGTTTCACCTGGGTGGAAAATAGTTTCTATTGCTTGCCCCCTCTAAATACAGAGATACAAATGTTGAGTGCATTTTGGATAAATTAGCAAGTATAATATGGTCTCATGTGAAGAGCTGAAGGTGAGGAATTGATGATGATATATTGTTTATATATCAGTTTTTAAAAATCAAAAGTCTCTACATATCTAGAATAAAGACATCATATGCTATGTTTTACGTGTGTGCCACTTTAAAGAAACAACAAGAGCCTCATAGGCTATTAAACTGAACAAAACTAATACTGTTATAGGGAATTCTGATCTACGCTCATTCAGCTGTGTGGCCCATTACCTCTGTGTATTTGCCTTTAAGTCACCTCAGATGTTTTGCAAGTGTGCAACAAAGAACAGACGTTGGGTCTCTTTTCTTATCAGCCTGCTGCACATGTCTCTACTTGCAGGCTTTCATCACAGGAATTTATACAACCTATATTTAGCTTAACTCAGATGGGACAGAGCAGTTTACATGTAGCTACACAGGTGGATCTCAGTTCCTGAAGAAGTTGTGTTTTTAATTCAGCCTTTGCTGAACTGTGTAATGTTTTTCTGAGATAGTCCTGCAAGACCAAAAGCCCCCCACCATAAGACATTTCTGTTAATGATTCATAAGGCGATGACGATTTTCTTCAAAGCAAAAAAACAAAACGAAACAGAACAGCAATAAAGTTTAAAGTCTTGCA